TGGAAAACATTTAAACTTTTCTCCTTATTCCTCGCCTATACTAAACTAAAGTCCTCAACTTCAAATGATTTTCATTCTTTTTTATACTTTTCTATAAAACAATTGTGACATTTGGACATGTCTAGAAACACACAGTGCTGGGCTCCTTGGCACATTTGTTCCCTGTCCAGTCCTACTGGCTGCTGTGCTGGCCTGAGCGACAGGGCAGCCCACAGGAAAAGACAACCGATTCTGCTTCTGCTACACTGGGGCAGGTTCACTAGGCAGAAGCAGAGTTGGAGACCTTCTTCAAAAAGAAATACATATTTGAAAAACAGTCTTGAACGGAAATGGGTGTTATCCAGAATGAGAGCTGATCAGCATTCAAAAAGGACTTGGGGGCTGGGCACAGCAGCCAGTAGGACTGGACAGGGAACGAATGTGCCAAGCATCCATGATGAAGCATGGATGAAACATGGCGAAGCATCCATGGTGTGTATCAGGGGACCTGGGTTTCAGTTCTAACTCCATTTCTTATCTTGGCCTCCCACTGATGTACATCTAGGGAGGTAGCAGGCGATGGTTCAAGGGGTCGCAGCCCTGCCACCCTCCTGCAGGGTAGACCTAGATTGAATGCCTGCCTCATGATATGACGACTAAGGGTATTTAGGGGAGTGAACCAATAGTGGGAATGTTCTCGCTCTTGTCTCTCTCTTACTCTTTCTGCCTTCCAGATCAATAGATTACAAAATGGACAGGGCTGAGGGAGGCCTGTCCTAGACAGTGAGAACAGAGACACCACAGCACACAGGCAATGAAATGAAACATGATGATTCCAGAGATGAGGCTCTGTGCGCTGCTGTCCACGGAGATGTGAGTGTTTATGACTGCAATGCATGTCTCCTCCTCCCAAAATACATTAGCAATCAGAGATAATCCAGTTTACAAAACCAAGCAATCATCAGGGAGACGGTGAGGTTCAACCCTCGCATCAGCTCTGTGATTCCTTGGTGTGACGCAGGGGCATGCTATGTGAAAACAAGTGTGTGTGTGTGTGTGTGTGTCTGTATGTGTGTGTGTCTGTGTGTGTGTGAGAGAGAGAGAGAGATGGTAGGGCTCTCATCTTCTTTCCCAAAACAATGAATTTCAACCTTTTCTGGGAAACATCTGTTTGAGCATACCTGTACTTTGGATTGCAGACAGCTGCCAACAACTGCATTCTTCAACAAACATGGGACTTTATGTGGAGCAAGCTTCAGTTGCTCCATCCACGTACAAAGCTGTGGATGGAGCCATCCCCACGGTGCTCTGCTGGGATGGGAGAACCACAGGCACTTGATTCTCTGTCTACACATCCTCACTTCATTTACTTCTGAGTGCATGGCTTTCTACTCTGCTCCAAGGGTAGGGGAAGAGGAGGCGGTGGTGCTCTACATTCAGTAGATAACTTCTAGGATTTACAAGTGAAAAAATAAATGAATTAACTTTCTAATAAAAGGCTCACAAATACAATCAGAGTGCAAACGCTCAAGCATGGAGCATGCTGCAATAAAATTCTGAGGAAATATCTCAAATCATTCCTCTTCTACTGTATTTAGGAAGGAGGTAAGAAAGAACAAAATTTGATTTTCATTCCTCTGAGTTCCAGAAAATAATATAACCCATCCTTCTATCCCCTGCTTCCAATGTTTCTTCTGTGTGTTGAAATCCCAGCTAAATGAGAGTATGCAATTGGATATATTGCGTGTTTGCTGTAGAGACATGGAGCGCGAGCCAATTGCCATAACAAGCAAGTGTTCTCTGAACTTTTGTTTATGTACAAACCCTGCTGGTGGGCCACAAGGGGTCTCAGCACCCTGGTGTGGGGCAACGGGTAAGTCGGTCGTTGCTGACTGCAGGTTTCCAAGAGCGGATGGCAATCACTTGTGGCTTCCTATGTGCATCTCTGCTGGAGTAACGGTCACTGTTTCTTCCTACCTTTACCTGAGATACCTTTTACAAAGCTCCAGCCATGTCATGTAATAGCAGACAAGGCAGGCTGTGAACAGCAGTGTGAAGAGACAGGCGTTTCTGTGATGCGGGGGTGGTGGTTACACTCTTCCTCCATAGACTACCACTGCTGTCATTGGCTTTAGGTTTAGTGACTAGTTTTCTTGTGAATTCATAGCAAGAAACCTATCAATCTTTTGTTAAGACTTCTGGATTTTGGCCTTGCCATGCTAGTCTAGTGGCTAAACCCTCATCTTCTATCGGCCAGGATCTCATATGGGCATTGGTTCATATCCTAACTGCTCTCTTCCCATCCAGCTCCCTGCTTGTGGACTGGGAAAGCAATAGAGAATGGCCACAGGCTTTGGGACCCTGTACCCATGTGGGAGACCCGGAAGAAATTTCGGGCTCCTGGCTTCACATCAGCTCAGTTCTGGGTGTTGCGGCCACTTGGGGAGAGAACCAATGGATGGTAGATTTCTCTCTGTCTCTTCTACTCTCCGCATTTTGCCTTTCCAATGAAGAAAAGCTCCTGGCTCACCAAGGTTTCAGACCAGTCTCCTCCAGTTGTTGCAGTCATTTGCTGAGTGAACCAGGATGTAAGATTCTCCATCTTTTTCTCCCTCTCTCCCTCTCTCTCCCTGTCTTTCTTCTTTCTTTCCTTCATTCTCTCTCTCTCTCTCTCTCTCTCTCTTTCCCCCTCTCCCTCCCTCTCTCTCTTTCTCAATCTGCTTTTAATGTGAATACCTAAACCTTTACAAAATAAAGTGACCAGAATGAGTTGATTTGTTTGTTAGTGCCATGTGCTCTGTACTCAAGTTGGTATGTGAATATCCACCCTTTGATTCCATGGATTGAATTGGCTTTTACCATCGCTTTACTTTCCTGAGGACAGGGAGGTGCCACTGCAGTTGTGACACAGAAATCTCAGTCAGGACGCTTGGTTGAGGATGTGGGAATTATGGGGAAACGGGAACTATAATAAAGATTTTTAACTGGATCGTAAAAATACAGAACAACATTGACTTGACTATGCTTATTTTTTATTTCCAGACTTTGGATTAAATCTGTACCACACCTAATCATAAACCACAGGGATGCCCACCAGCCAGCATTCTAGGCCCGAGCCCTGCTGGCTCATACGCTACGATTTGGTTGTACCACATTTTCTGACAACAGCTAAGGAAGGTGATGACATACAAGGGTGAATAGCATTTTCCAGTGATCATTTCAGATGAGCAAAGAGTCGATACTGCAAAGGTACAGTGCCCTTCAATCAGGACATTTCTCTAGAGACCCACTTCCACTGAGAGTCGAAAGCTCTTAGGATTAAGCAACCACAAAGACTACCAGAAAAAGGCAAACCAAAACAAAATATACAAAACCTTTGTGTGATACGGAGGGCATTGTCATAGCAAGGATTGCATCTCAGGAAAATTGATTGTATGTGATGCAAACTTCAGCAAGGCCCTAAAATTCTCTTCTTTTTGGATCCACTGTTTTTCAGATTTAGATATCTTTGGATAAGCTTTTTTTTTCTCTCTCTCTTCCTACGGTTGTGTTAGTATTTATTCCTCCAGTGTTCCACTGTTTCAGCTTTATACCCTGAAACTATTCAAGTACATTTAGTTGCAAAGGCATTTAACATTTTAAATTAAGACACAGGGACTCTAAGTGATACTTCAGATACCACTGGGATAAGTTTCTCATTTCTTGTATTAGTAGATACATGAAACATTCATAAATCAAAACCTGAACATTTTTAAGCCAGATAAAAATATTATAAAGTGCAATGTCTCTATTATCAAAAATGCAATTATTCTGCTTAGTTATACTTTTTAGAGTAGCCTGACATTTAAACTAATTGATGAATATGTGGTTTGTTCATCAGTACTAGGCAGTTCCCACAGAGATAGCATCGCTACTTTTGCAATCTACTGTTTCAGGAGAGTTTCACAAAGGCAAAGATTAAGGCTAGGAAGCAGAGGGAACTCGCTCCAGGATGACAGTATTCCATTTCACACCCAGAGCACTTCACAGCGCCAGCAGTTACTCCTCACAAATTTAGTCAATGCATTGAATTCCCTTGGGTGAGTTACAGAGAAGACGTGTGTAGCGTTCTTTCCCATACAGAATTTCCCATTCAGTCATGCCCTCCAATGCACATCACAGCAACATAGTGTACTGTAAAAAGTTAAATACTTTAGCTTCTGTCTTTATTTCTGGTCTCTTTTCTTCAAATGATAATAGAGAGTTCATTTACCATGCATGGACACACACATTCCCTTTCCAAGAACATTTCTGGTGTTTTCCGTGTAAGAGAAAAGTCACTTCTTCAAATCTGGCTTATTTATCTACAGTTTTTGGTAAATACCTGGATGATATGGTCAGTCAGCTTGTCTCTATGGCCTAAAAAAGACTCGCTGCCATATTCAATCCAAATGAGTAAGCATATGAGTATGCATAAGGTCACCAATATTCAGAGTATCTCATAACCATGCTCCAAGCTAAATAAAGCTGCCACAAATATTACAGTATAATATGATAAGGGCTTAAAGTTATATACAGCTTCATTGACAACATCTGTGCAAGAATTGTAGACAAAACATTTAAAAAGAAATTCACATGAAACAAAGTAGATAAATTTATCAAATATTGATAAATTTTCAGGGACAGTATAAAAGTACACAAAACATGGACGAGAGAAGGAATTTTAAAAACAACCACTAAGCAAATACATAGAATACAAATTTACTACATTTATAATACAGAATGATGGAAACCAGAGACAAAAACGACCTGATACTAGTAAACAGGGTTTCACCTCGGAAGGAAGGTGATTCACAAAGAAGAAAGAGATTTCCTTTCGGATGGAAACACAGACAGCCAGAACTCCCCCTGCCTGCCCATACACACACAGAGAAATAAAAGCAAATGCAAAAGCGGTCTAGAGCCACACATGACAGACAGGGGAGGCACTGGGCATGTGGCATCACAGGAAGTCAATCACGATTGGCTAACGATGATGGTACCTGGCTCTGGTGCAGGTCACTGCTTTGCCTGAGAGGGGTAACTGACGGAGGAGGCACACCTGATGTAGATGCAGATCGGCCTAGTTTGCAGCTTACTTTAGGTTCTGTGAATACAGAGGAAAGAAAGACATGTTAGCTAAGCAACATCTGCAAGGATGAAACAGATCACGGTCTCTCCTTTTGTTTGCTTACAAGTGCTAGATCTACACAACATACTTCCAATGTTTGCTAATAATTGGGAGGTGATCAAACACTTTAACAACCAACAATCAAAGGAAGTCGTAGTGGGAGAACAGCTCCTGGAGAAGAGTGTGCAACTCCCTAGGCACAAGCGCTCCCTTGTCTCCTTGTACCTTGCACTTGGCTTAGTGTGGGTTTCTGTGCAGCGATTACTAGAGCGACAACATCCCCCGGAAGGGAAATAACAGCTTGTGATGTTCCATGATTCATCCTTGATGCTCTCTCTAAATCAACCCTCCCCACTTTTCTTCCATGACTACGTGGATCACATTTCACTGTAAGACATCGCCAACGAACATTGATTTGCTTTAAATTTTGTAACTATCTTCTCAGACCTGTGCATGATTTGATACCTACTGTGAGCCATAAAATTGACAGGAAGCAATAATGGAAATTGTCTGTTGCTATGCTGTAGCTCAGTCTGTCTCAGAACATGGATTATTAAGCAAGTGATGTGCTTGATGATGTCATGGCAGGAATAAAGGGCCCTCTTGGTCGGATTACAGCTGGGGTAATTGAACAACCCTTACTGAAGAAACCAACAGACCTTGGGAAAAGGATTTCTATGCGGCTTGTGGGTGCTACAACTTGAGGAGTTGTTTAATCTTTGTGCCTTTAACAAATGCTTATCAAAAGCCAACTACATGCCATGTACCACACAAGATGCTAAGCTTATGGGCATAAAGACAGCACCAATTTTCTTGTGTATATTTAAATGGAGTTTATCTTTGATCAGGAATCATAGATATTGTGCCTAAAATTATCTGGTGAAAACTGGGAATTGTATAGAAAGCAAAGGTATAGGATTCCATGAAGTATTAATAAGGAGTATTTAGTGTACCGCATGGCACTAGAGAGGGCCAATTCTGCTTTCTTAAAATAAAGCCAAATCCTTCTTTTCTTTCTCTTTTTCTTTTTTTTGGGGGGGTGTGGAGGGGGGAACGGTCACTTCTGCAAATTTACCGAAAAATTAGAAAAATAACCTCCCAACTTATTTTTCCCAAGTCCTCACAGCATTCTCCCCAACACAAACAATTTTCCCCAAAACTACAAATATGGACTTGTCCTGGTATTTTCAGAAACAGTGAAACTAAGAAAGTTTAGTGAAACTTGAACAGAATTCAGATGACATGTGTTCTGTCCTCTCTCAGCCTGGAGAGGTGGTGATCCCACAAGGACCCCAGTCCTCCCCAGTAGTTCCCCGGGGCTCCTAAGAGAGTGCTTTCACAAGGTGGCTGTGGCTGCCGCTTGAGAGACCCTCCTGGGCCTTCCTCTTCTTGGGTTTCTCATCTTGAATTATGGGGGGGCGGGGTGTGTTGGGGTTGTAGCTGCTCACTGCACATACCTAACAACATGACTTATTTGTCATCCACCTTCACATGTCTTTGGATTTTGAATCACTTAATCCACAGCCACCTTCACCTGTGTTGGGATTTTGCTTCTCGTTGGCTGGAGAGAAGCAGAAGGTAGATCTGGTTTCCAAGAGAGAAGGCACAGCATCGGCTGTGGCAGCCATCTTGTCAGTGACAGGATTTGACTCCTTGCTGAGCTTCTCTACCAGTTCTTTCTCTTTGGCCTTGTTTCCAAGCAGGAAATTAGAATAGCCACAGAGACTAGTGCATATTTACGCAAACAACTCCTAAATAAAACACATAACACTAAAGTAATAAGATCGTTCAAATTCTGCAGACCTATCTCTTCTGCACCTTATCTCCTGCACCCCCCAGATTTCATACTTTTGGTATAAGAAAGACACATCATGATTCCACCAAGTATGGATTTCATGAAAGTCACAGAGTGGCCTTTTCGTGTTAAAATATGTCAAAGCATACTAATTGCAAGCTCTAATTTTGGGGAAGATATATTTAAGAAAAACTAGCACCTGAGTTTGCCTTACATTTCACTATAGTTTTCATGTTCAAACACTTTGTATCAAATACTGCATCACAAATTGAAGCCTGTATTAAGATGTCCATATATCCTACAATAAATGCAGCATATTTATATATGTAACTATGAACTTTCACAATTTTGCTTTTTGAATATTTCAGTTAATTAACGGTTAGAATGTTTACATAGAAATTACATACATTTTGGAAGTTTGGGAGGACTGAATGGTTTATACAATTTTTTTTTTCCACATGGGATGAAACCCCTTTAATACTAAGTTGAAAGCTAAGATGGGGCTGGTGTGGTGGTATCTCAGGTTAATCCTCCACCTATAGTGCTGGCATCCCGTATTGGCCTGGGAAAGGAGCATACATGGCTCAAGTCCTTGGATTCTTACACCCCTTGAGAGACCCTTTTCCTGGCTCCCAGTTTTGAATCAGCCCAGCTCTGGCTTGGGAGCTGAGTTGGGGAGTGATTCAGTGAACAGAAGATCTCTCTCTCTCTCTGTCTCTGTCTCTGTCTAGTCTTAACTTGCAAGCAAAATAAATCTAAAAAAATTAAGCCGATTTTGCGCATATCTTATACTTGATTAACTAACTACTTAATCGAATTTTGGATTTAAAAAAAAAACTCCCATTTCTCCGTACATTGCTGACAAGCTCATTGTGAACATGGTGCTGAAAAGATAGAAGAAATCTGATCGCTGCTATGGTTGTCGTGTGACCTCTAAGAAGGAACCAAGGGGGCGGACTGCATAAATCCACATTTTCTTCTCTTTTCCATTCTATTGAGTCATCATCCTAGGAGGCAGCCAAGGCTTGCAAATCTGTGGGAAGCTTTCAGTGTTCTGTGTCCATCAGGTAATATCCTAGCATTATCTGAAGGATCAGATAATAAACCTGTTACTGCTGGAATGATTGATAAGACTTCTTGGAATGTTGGCATTCTGTGGAAGACCTTGGGTTTGAGCCTCGCAGGCCTGAGGCATGAGACCAAATCTATTTTCACAGAAATTCTAAGATACCATTTGCCTTATTCATGGTGTTGACAATGTACTAAACACCCAAAATCAGTGTACAAACTTACCATCACCTTAGCACATACAAGTTGTAGCACCACGTTCTACCAATTTGAAAATCAATGGAGTCTCCTATTTCAAGAAACACATCTGATAACACTTGAAAATGACAAGTGACTTTCAAGTAAAAGTTAAAATGTTGAAACATTTGTATCTCTTACTATAATCTTGAGGATAGCCTAACAGTTAGAATTTTATTAAGATATCATTGATATCGGGCCCAGCACGGTGGCGCAAGTGGTTAAGGTCCTCGCCTTGCACGCCCGGGATCCCATATGGGCACCGGTTCTAATCCCGGCAGCCCTGCTTCCCTTCCAGCTCCCTGCCTGTGGCCCGGGAAAGCAGCAGAGGACGGCCCAAGGCTTTGGGACCCTGCACCCACGTGGGAGACCCGGAAGAGGCTCCTGGCTTCGGATCAGCATAGCATCGGTCGTTGCAGCCACTTGGGGAGTGAATCATCGGACGGAAAATCTTCCTCTCTGTCTCTCCTCTCTGTATATCCGCCTTTCCAATAAAAAAAATAATAATAAAAATAAATCTTTTAAAAAAAGATATCATTGATATCAACAAAAGTGATATTTGATGTTTATAATAAAATGTGTTGACATATGACACTCAGTGAAGTGCATTTTCTACGTGTATTGTTAGAAAGCATGATGAGTGAAAGCCTGCGCTTTTCAATTCGAGATACACTGATAGAGATTTAATTTTTTTATGTTACTATCATTTGAAAAACACTGAGTGCAGGGAAGATTTTGCATCTGCTAAGTTCCTCTCAAAATGTCTATAACAGCTATATCCAAACTAAGTCAAAGACGGGCAACCAAAACTAAACCTGCATTCAGCATATGCAAGGTGGGCACCCAAGGCCTTGGTCCATCGCCTGCTGCCTCTTAGAGCACACACTTGCAGGGAGTCAAACTCCGGAGCAGAACCAGGCACCTTGCTGTGAGATGAGGTGTTTGGCCTCCTGAGCCTGTGAACCAAAAACCTCAGACCCACGAGTTTCAATGCACCAGAGTCTATAAAGTTGCGGCTAGTGTTACAAGCAACTTTTCAGAAATTCCTATTCATTGAATTTTGGGAGATAGTTTTTTAGAAGAGTTTTAAGGGACTCTTATCCGTAACTATAGGAAAAGGAAATCTAAATATTAGTTTATTATTCACATAAATATGTAAAAGAGCAGGCTTCCTTCATGTGTTTAACTAAAATACGTCTCAAAAGATTGAATCCCAAGTGGAAATGAGAATCTATATTCTGTCACTGGACACGGAAAAGATAACCACCAGTGTAAAGCAAGCCCAGCCTATATATTACTTTGTATACTTTTAGAAAATATTTTCCAAAACTTCTGTTTATGTTAACATATAAAATAAACATGCTTATTTTCATCACTAGATGACATTCTTTTGATTTGAGTTTCTAATACGATAATATTTGTTAGCAGACATAAAGAATGTTCTTGAGGTCTGTAACAATTTTAAGAACAAACCTCTACTGAAACCAAGAATTGGAGAACCGTTGCTTTGTGCGGACTGCGAGTCTTCAAACACTTCTCAAGTGATAAATTCTGACATAATACGTTTTCCAGTAGCGTACCTCAAGAAAACAAATTGGAACAGGGAAACACCAGGCTTCAGTAGGGGAAGCATTTTTAAATCTTCCAGAGCCTTGGGAAGCACAAAATGTAAGCTCTAAAGTTCTTTCATTGATTTCTTTGATACTGAAAAATTAAATGTGTGGAATAATTGAAATGACCTAAAGACACCCTTGATTTGTTTATTAAGGTCAATGTTTTCATTCCTTCTTTCTTCTCAGCATTCTCTGCTTTATTTTTCTAATAATGTAGATGGGTTTACAATTAAAATTTTTTCACTTGCTACCTGCAAGAGAAA